GTGGCACGTGCGACGTAGATTAGCGACGTTCTTTTCAAAAACTGTTTTTCCCCTGGATCGCATTCCCCGTAAAACCATCCTGCACGATGTACATGTCTTTGTACCACTTGGTCATTTTAACAGTTCTCGCGGTTCTCGAACCGTTTACTCGGTATGGAGAAAACCTCGTGGTTCGGTTTCCTCTGTTGGGATAAACGTAAGGCGGTAATATTCGATAGCCATGATATTATAGATCTCGGATGGCATTCAAAGGATTCTTATAATTATATTCCCCTGTTATCGGATTTTATCTACGTTAGTTTAAGCAAACGGTTTGAAACCGCGGTAACTTTCAAGACAAATGACCCATTAGAAAGAGTGATTACTCTTCCGAAATCCTTGCTCGTCTTTTTCTCTTTATCTCTGTCTCTTTCTGTTTCTTCTTCTCTTTTCGTTTCTTTGTCGCGAGTCCCTGCCGTTATCGGGATAAAAGTCGACGCAGCTAAAGTCAAAAGAGGCTGATACAATGCACCGTAGCATGCGACTCGAGTTCATACATTTTCCTCGAGCGTTTATTTCTTATTGTCTTTAAGCCGCAATTTTTTCACTACTATATTTTCTGGTTTAAGTCCGCTCAAATGAGAATTCCTTCTCTTACTTGCCTTCGTTTACAGATACCGAGACTGATAAGCAGGCGACGCCCAAGAAACAGGAAAACAATAATTCCGTCTTCGCAAATAAAAAATCCCCTGAGAAACGTACGAATGGTATGGTGGAGACCAGCAACGCGAGCATGGTCAATACTCCGGACCTGAGCCCCGTGAAAAATATACGAAACGGAGAGGTCGAGGATTCCGAGGTTCGGAAAACCAAGGTAAGAAGCTCGCTTTTACCAATGTTACGTTTCCTATTTTCTCGTATTCCGTGAATTAATGCTTCATTTCCTCGTCACAAATAGAGATGGCCGACCGACAAGGCGTATTACATAGCAAAAGAACTTCTTATGACCGAACGAACGTACAAAAAGGATCTCGATGTGATAAACGTGGTACGTATGCATGGATAATTTGCACCTTTCCAAATCCATCGTCTACCGTTGAGGAAGAACCAAGGAATCACTGCGGTAATCTCATGTGCCATTTTTAACTCGACAGTGGTTCAGGGAGGAAGTATCTCGAGAGGCAGAATTAGAGGGTGAAGCGGTTGTTTCGCTGATCGAGCTTTTAGCGGACGTTCACGGACCCTGCCTTCAAGAGATGGAGGCAAGATTGGAACGGTGGGAAAGTAACGCACGGCACAACATCGGCGATTTTCTTTACAACACATTGTTGAACGTACTGCCGCTTTACGATCAATATCTCGAGAATCTAATACCCGTCCTCGAGAAGATGGAATATTACACGAGGACGTCACGTCGTTTTGATCAGCTGTGCCGAGATTTCGAAGCGCAAAAGCATTGTTATCTACCGTTAACCTCGTTTCTCTTAAAACCGTTGCAACGGTTGTTGCATTACAACAGTATTATCGATAGTATGTCAACCATTTCTTGCTAAACTAGTCTATATATTACCATACTATCTGTTCGCGTCACAACGATCCGATCATTTTAGTGTTATTAGATCACTATCCAAAAGATCACACGGATTTTGAAGATTGTTTGGCGGCAAGAGATCGATTAGGTGAAACGTTGCTCGAAGGTCTTAGTATAATTAATCAAGCGGTAAATATTTGCAATATATTCGAATTTTTAATTTGCTATTTCGGATACTTAATGCTTGCACGTTATAAATATAGGAGAACCTGGTTCAGCTTTGCGAAATGCAAAGGGACATCAGTGGCTTCGATAATTTGGTTCAAGAAGGTCGTAGATTTATTAGGCAAGGCTGTTTGCAAAAGTATAGTCGTAAAGGTTTTCAGCAAAGAATGTTTTTCCTCGTAAGTTTATACCGCTGTTATTAATATTCTTCTTACATGCTTCTTCTCTACTTTCTCAACTTTCTTTTCTGCTTTCATCTGCATTTTTCTCCTTTAATCGCGCTTCTTTCACGCTTCTTTCAGTTTTCCGACATATTATTATACACGTTCTGCACTCAACAACCGACTCAATGTTTTCGCGTACATGGTCAACTTCCGCTGAAAGGAATGAAAATCCGAGAAAACGACAACAAAACTGGATCGGAATTTGCGTTCGTAATCGTCGCACAAGGAAATCAGTGAGTACCGTGAATGGAGCGTTCTTCCGTTTAAGTAAATTATTGAACGTAACGAGGTGTTAAAAGGAAGAGGTCTCTATGGTTATTAAGAGGTCAATTGACTATAGAGACTTCACTTAAGCAGACCATTCTCCCAATCTAAATGTGCCAGACGTATCAGTGAACATTTTCGCCGCCAGTTATAGACCATAAACATTTTCTTCCTCACGCTCGTACTATAATATAAACGTTTTTATTTTAATTATTACCTTTTTCTTTCTTCTTTCTTTCTTTTTTCTTTTTACTGTCGCCCGTTGAAATATATTCAAGTTGACGGTTTGCCTAGGTCTTTGACAGTTGCTGCCAGTAACGAAGAGGAAAAGGAGAGATGGCTAGAAGATTTGAACATGACCATCGCGCAAGCTGACACAGATCCAAAAATGCCGTACTTGAATTTAAAGTCTTGTAGTAAGTTTCATCGGAAATAACTCCTCTACGAATACCGAGCAAAATTATTTAATATCACATAAACTATGTGATATTCGATCACGATTTAGGTTCAACCGATGAAATGGGCGACGGTGTCGGATTAGAAGCGGACAGAGCAAGTTGCGGAGGTGCGAAAGCTTCTCAACGAAGCAACACGACTGTACATGTTTGTTGGCATCGAAACACGAGTATCAGTTACAGTGATCAGCTGCGAGCATTTCAAGTAAGTGGAAGGAAGAGTTAGCGTATATAAGAAGATTAGCGTGTCGACGAAATAGCGTCAGTACGTTAAATTCTAAATTGTGTTCATTTTAGAATCAACTCAGTGGATTCCTGTTACGAAAATTCAAAAATAGTAATGGTTGGCAAAAGCTTTGGGTCGTCTTTACCAACTTTTGTTTATTCTTCTATAAATCACATCGAGACGACTTCCCATTGGCTAGCTTGCCATTGTTAGGGTACACTGTGACTACTCCGTCAGAAAAGGATGGCATCAATAAAGATTTCGTATTTAAATTACAATTTAAGAATCATGTCTATTTCTTCCGTGCTGAAAGCGACTACACGTTTGGACGGTAAGACTTGTTATAGGAATTTCATTAAAAATCCGAAACTTTCGAAACTTTCGAAACTTTTGAAACTTGATTAACGAGAAAATGTTTTTCAGGTGGGTGGAGGTAATTCGAAGCGCCACCCAACAGAATTATGTATCAGGTAGTTTTAATGGAAAAGATGGATATTAACACACGTGTTTTTTAGAAATGATGTAAAAAACTGTTTGAACCCAATAGCGCTCTATGCCATATTGTGTTAAAACGTTTTTTCACTTTACGATATAGTATTAAAATCAACGAAATCTTGACAATTTCAGGAAAGACAATTTGCAGTAAAAATATATAAATTTTGCGGCCTTATTCCAGGACTGAGATCAAATTTATACGATTAAAATAGTAATCGACAATCAAATCAAAATTATATATATCAAAAGAAGATGTAAAGACTGTAAAGAGAACGAAGCAAAACGTTCTACGTAGGGGAAGCATTTCGTGCTAATCTCCCAGTCTGGTTATTCGAAGAATCTTCAATGTTAAAATACATCGCAGTTTTATCATTTTCCTTGTACTGTGACGACTGACGCGTACTTGAAAATACGCTTGACGGGGGTGATAATTGGAATGTAAATATAATTATTTAGATCTAAGCGGATCGCATTTGTTTGGAATTTATATGAATCTGATATACGAATTTAAATGTATTCGGGTTGCCGATAAGAATTTGTTGTCCATCAGTGAAGCGGCAAAGCTTCGATATCGTTGTTGAAAAATTTAGAAATTAGCGTAAACCTTGGACCAATTTTATAATAGAATTTCTTTAGCCATTCGTATTTAAAAAAAAAGACAATAATTTTGTTAGCATACTAGATCTTTTTTCTCTGTTATTAAATTAATATTACGAGCAAATATAAAGGAGTTATTTCTGACCATTATTAAAAATTGTATGATTTCGAGATTCTTTATTACTACATATCGCCGTAGCTCTTTCGAAGTAATACACGATTCGATTATACAAAGACTGGCTATGCGAATTTATTTGACAAAAAGATACGTATGCATCACGTGTGTTACATTTGTAATGAATGCATGTCTTTGAGAAGAAAGAATTACGCAATAATACGAATAGAACATATCCACGCGAACGTGACTCGTTCACGTGAAAAAGAAAAATCCGTAACTTAATGGTTATCTGTTTTTTAGTTACTACAATTGTTTTGTTATATTGTAGAATTTAATTTATACATATATTATATATATATATATATATACATACATACATACATACATACATACATACATACATACATACATACATACATACATACATACATACATACACACACACAAACACAAACACATATACATATATACATATATACATATACATATACATAAATCAGAGTAAAAAAATTAGTTTTATACTTGAAGAATCGTACTCATAAACGTACATTGGACGTGCTTTATATCTAATTAAGTGTCTCCGTAGGAGATGTATTGTTATCTTCAGCATCTCACCGAAATGCTCATGCGTTGCGCCGAAAAGTTTTATTAAAATTGCCAAACTTGTACGTTTATTTTAAAACAATTTCGTCATTTTCGATTTAAATACGTTTCATAACGTAGATTCAAAATAAGTCGTTATGTAACATTATGTATCAATATTCCGCAATAAACGTACATTAATACTTTTAAATTTTTATCCAATAATCATGATAACATATCGTATGTAACTTCGCAATTTAATCAGCGGGATATCGATTATGTATGTACATCGTATACACGAATAGAAACATTTTAATATTTATTCCAACAGAACTTAAATTCGTATTAATCGTGTCGATATCAGTTCTGATTAAAAAATACTCTTCTAACTCCTACCATATGTTTAATCTCATTCAAACTAGATTAGCTTTGCCCGCGTTTATAAAAATACGTTAAGCTTGCGTGTAAATCATTATTATTATTTTTTTTTTTTTGTGTTTATTGTTAATTACGATTTTTATAGACGATTTTTTTAATCAAGTAGGAAATGTTGGAAATACCCATAATAAAATTGCAATGATCGCATACAATACCCGTTAATCGTTTCCTTGGTATCAGGATATCATTGATCAAAGATAGATAATCCTGTTCATATTAAATATCACAAATGAAGCTGGTCAAACGAGTCTTTAATGTGAAAACTATGAATGCAAGCTATCCTTGTACCAAGAGTAAACGATAAAATCGCAGTCCTTTGGTATATAAAGAGAGCCGCGTTTCCACGAAACGAACTATCTGACTACACTGTTAAAAATGTAAAGATAATTGTACAACTGTAATCGTTACTCTATATAATCGATAGTGTGTTATTAGGTTTAGGTCAATGTCTAAAATGCAATACTTGAGGTTATCAGTGTTTCTCTTCATACGAACAAACTTCTAGCAATGCCTAATCGCTGTTCGATGGTGTTCGTTCGAGGATTAATTAATCACGGTAGTAATTTTTTATTCGATGGAGCATCTCTAGTGACGCCACGAGACTCCTCTTATGAAGGTTCAAAAATGTATTACGCTCCACTACATTATTGACATTACTTGCACAGCAAAGCGATCATTGAATAAAAAAAATACGCGCGAAATTTCCAGTGACGTAACCCTAAGCAACTAACTGGTTTTACCGATCGTTATCTTTTGCATTTTCTTTTTTTGTTTCCTTTGTGTGAGATACCCTGTTCCTAGGACGCGTAATAAAACGTTGCTACTAACATTGTTCCCACTGCAACCCTATGGTAAAGGGTAAAGATGAAAATGTCCCTAGCAATAAATTCGATGTTTTTCGAACTTTAATTGTATAGATATATTTATTCAGAGTATGTTTGAATAAAGGAAGCGCAAAGAAGCATAAGGATCCCGCCAAATGTTACGTAACTTCAAGGATTTTACCACCGACATGAGATAAATAATACTAGAAAAACAAGTTTCTTCTTTTATTCTGTTTAACAAAGTATTTTCTAATCGTGACATCAATAAATAAAAAATTATATGCGAAAGCTTTATGTCTTTACTAAAAACAAAGTATCAAAAATAGATTTATTGTGAAACATAGCCTACAAGAAAGGAGGATATGGTAATACGTTTTGGGGTCAACGAGAATCTTCAAGTTCTACGACGTTCGTTCGCAGGAGACTGAATTGACGTGAAGAAAGCAGGATTCGATGATTAGACACGTCCATCATCGGTTACCTTAGCCTTGGCCAGCGGTTCTTTTTTTTGCCCTCGTTGTGCCGTTTCACGCGTGGAACTGCGTTCGAAGAAGCGGCAGCGGTTACAGGAAGAATCGCGGTAAATTAGAGTGGGAGGAACGATATAAAGATGAGCGTTTTGCGAACGATCGGAATAGAAGAATCGACATCATGTGGAGATATCGAACGATTGGGCTCTTGGCCTTACTGGTCCTTCTCTGTATTCAGGCACAAGGTACATTTTTTATCAACTCTTATTCCGCCTCCCCATCAAATACATCGAGATAAATGTTCCGATCCTTTCACACATCTTTTACCATCAGTGATTGTTACTTTTTTTCTTTCTTTTTCTTTTCAACGATAATCAATTACTTTGCAACTAACGTTGCAATTCATTTATCTTAAAATTTTGTAATTATTTTTATGTCAACTTCATTTCCAATTTGAATATGACAACCTTCTCATGTTATCATTATTATCCCTTTTCGTAATGTCGACTTAAACTTGAGAGGCAAAGCACTTATTGTAAGTAATAAATTGTTAAACTATGAATTATTTAATCAGCTGCAGAGTTCAGAGTGATACAAGGGATCCACAGACCTTATGTTAAAAGGTCTCTCAGCGATGCAGAGAGCTTCGTGAAATCTCTCGCTGGTTCAGGTGGACTAGGCGGTGGATTAGGCGGTGGATTAGGCGGTGGATTTGGTGGAGGATTTGGCGGCGGATTCGGCGGTGGTGGCGGCGGTGGTGGTGGAGGTGGTGGCGGAGGAGGATTTGGCACTGGCGGAGGATTTGGAGGTGGCGGTGGTTTTGGTGGCTCTAAAGGAGGTGGTTGCCGCACAGGCGGTTGTGGCCCCGGATCTGGAAGTGGTGCTGGAGGTGGCTCCGGAGGTGGTGGTGGAGCCGGTGGCGGTGCTGGGGCTGGAGGCTATGGAGGCCCTGGCGGTAAAGGAGGTCCAGGTGGTGGTGCCGGTGGATATGGTGGTCACGGAGGCGGTGCTGGAGGATATGGTGGCTCTGGAGCAGGCGGTGGAGCAGGCGGTGGAGCCGGAGGTGGAGCAGGCGGTGGAGCTGGAGGACATGGTGGCTCCGGTGCCGGCGGTGGTGCTGGAGGATATGGTGGTTCCGGAGCCGGCGGTGGTGCTGGAGGATATGGTGGATCTGGCGCCGGAGGTGGTGCTGGAGGATATGGTGGTTCTGGGGCCGGAGGAGGCGCTGGTGGGTATGGTGGCTCCGGAGGCGGAAGAGGTGGCGGAGCCGGAGGCGGAAGAGGTGGTGGCGCCGGTGCTGGAGGTGGTGCCGGGGGATATGGAGGCGCCGGTGCTGGAGGTGGTGCCGGGGGATATGGTGGCGCCGGAGCTGGTGGTGGAGCCGGAGGATATGGAGGCGCTGGCGCTGGCGGTGGCGCTGGCGGTGGCGCTGGCGGTTATGGTGGTGAGTCTGATTACAGAACTCGACAGTTTATTAGCATTCTATGTAATTAAAACGCTTCTCAAACTATGTCATTTTCATTTTTATATCAGGATCAGGAACTGGAGTAGTAAAGACTGGCGGAGGTGGCGCAGGAGCCGGTGGATACGGTGGTGCAGGTGGCCGCGGCGGTGGAACCGGTGGATATGGTGGTGCAGGTGGCGGTGGCGCAGGAGCTGGTGGATACGGCGGCGCAGGAGCTGGTGGATACGGCGGCGCAGGTGGCGGTGGTGCAGGTGGTGGTGCCGGAAGTGGCGGCTATGGAGGCGCAGGTAGAGGCGCTGGAAGTGGTGGTTATGGTGGCGCAGGTGGTGGCACCGGAAGCGGTGGTTACGGTGGCGCAGGTGGCGGCGCCGGTAGCGGTGGTTACGGTGGCGCAGGTGGCGGCGCCGGTAGCGGTGGTTACGGTGGCGCAGGCGGCGGCGGCGCTGGTAGCGGTGGTTATGGTGGCGCAGGCGGTGGTGGCAATTGCCCTGGAGGATGCAAACCAGGTTATGGAAGTGCCAGCGCGAACGCAAACGCTTATGCGAGCGCAAATGCTGCCGCTAGTGCGAACGCTCGCGCCACTGCGTCAGCGTCTGCATCTGCTAATGCGAATGCTAACGCCGGAGGTTACGGAGGTTTCGGAGGATATGGCGCTCCCGGAGATGGTCATCCAGTCGAGTAAGTTTTTTAGTCTCTTACTCTAACAAATAAGGCTGCTTTATTCCTTTGCAAGCGACCGCGAATATTAGTGAATTGTTTGTTGGGTATCTCGTTCGTTTCGTTATTGCTGGTATCCAATATTATTGAATATAATTTAAAGATGAAATAATTAATTCACAAATTATTTTCAACTTAGTCTCTTCTCTCGTATGGGCGATATCAACGAGGGAGCTAGTAAAAGTGGTACGGTAGGCAATGCCAAAGGCGTCTATAGCAGTAGCGCAGCGAACCTCGATTCCAGTGGAAAGGGAACATATAAAGTAGCAGCGGGCAAAGTGATCTAAATGGTCACACTGAAGTGATCTCAGGTCGACATTGATGATCGACTGAAGGCGAGCCAGAATTTGATCTGTGATCAAACATAAAAGAATTTGCACGACTTCAAGGGCTTGCAGTGGACTCGGTAGAGGATTCACGGATTATCCTTTTTTACCGTCTATACCTAGTCTCAATTGTTATATTTATAATCAGTAAAATACGCGAGCAAAATCTTTTGCGTGGCCCTAAACTTCGCTTCAAAATGGCAGCTTCGTATGATGTATACTGTGCAGTTTGAATAAACGATTTATTCTTACGTATGAATGTCTATAATTATGTTTACTCGAAATATCCTTTACAATGATGTTTGCATATGTCTCCGAAGATAAAACCAAGTGGACCTTTTCTTTCAACTGAAACGTATTTATTTCTCGTCTTCACCTGACTACCTCTAAATTAACGTCTTCGTGTTTCTAAGCGATGCTTCGAACTGTAGAATTTATATCTTCAGAGCAATTCTTGAGATGACAGCAGCTTATTACGCATTCTTGTCAATAACAATGCGTTGCATGTTTATATGACTCGTCCCATAAAATTATCTTCTCGCAACTATTGGCTACAACTATATCTGAAACTGTGTATTCTCCTAATGATGGTATAAATAATTCATAAGCAAATATACGCGATGTGAAAAAGCCTATCTTTGGTATACATCGATGACATAATTGGTATTTCCATGCACACAATGTTATATTTAAATTCGTTAATGGAACGGTATTTACTGCTTTTTATAAGAAAGATACCAACGTGAATCAGTTATTTGTTAATCTTATCTAACTTCGTTAGTCTGTGATATTTCAAAATATATATAGATATTACATATTTCGTACTGTTATTAATTTTACTTTCTTATTATACGCTATTAAAATGTGCGAAATAAAAAAGAAAACGTTGTTTTCAAAAGTACCTGCTTTTATAATAATGTTAAATTTGGACATTAATAATCGGTGACGTATTTGAGTATTCTAAATAATAGTTGACAATGTCTTCGGGCGATGCTGTCATTTAATCAAGGCTATCATTCGTTTCTCAAGGATAATCAGTTAAAGGATACGATTTTCTTTATTGACTTTTTCAGTTTCTTAATAGGAAAATATTAGATCCGTTCAAGAATGTATTCGATTCATCAAGTATGAAATTATCTCTTAACACGTTAAACACCACGCCGGTCCCTAGGGGCCGTCGCTAGACTTTCCGTTCAGGTCTCACCGGTCCGTATGGCCCGAAAGGGCCCGCATGACGGTTAACTGCGACGTGAACGGAACGGCATGTAAAACCGACGTGGCGTTTAACATGTTAAACATCGATTGATAACGATCTTTCGTATAATAGTAGTACAATCGCTTCGAGGAATCGGCTTTAATTCCCGGTCAATTATAAAGGCTCGCGTATAGGATTCGAAGAGTAGAAAAAGCAGCAATTCTCTTTATACAAGATTGTATCAGGAACGACTAATAGATCAAATAAATTAGGAATAGAAATACAAATGAAGCAAAATAAAACGATCGTTTTCACAGTTTGCGAATGTCTGAGATTTATCTTCAGCTATTCATAATATTCCCGTCGATTATCCTTTAGGAAACTATCCTTTGCGAAACTATCCTTTTACAAAACTCGGTCCTGCACCTGCACCTGCCCAACCTGAAACAACAATTCATCATTTAAGAATCGATTCTCTAACTGTTTGTACAAACATATATCTCGTGTACTGAGTTTCCAAAACTTACTGCTGGCACTACTGCTCGCATAAGCGGATGCACCACTGGAGGACCAGGAACCACTTCCAGCTCCACTTCCTGCGCTAGCCCCACTGGAAGCCCAGCTTCCACTGTTCGCTTGTCCGAACACTTGTGCTGGTGCTATAATGCAAAATATTTTCATTTATATATCACCCAACGGAAATTTTTATAAATTTAAAAATGACTGAGTGGTAAATATTGGCAAAATAGACAATATGAATCGAGAAAATGTCGAAATATCATTAAAATAGATAATAAAAGTGATAATCGTTTTATGTTTAGGCATGTGTATATACTCTATGTAACATGTGTTGCTAGATAACGTTGTGGGATTACGCAACACACATACATTAAGAGAACGGAAGCTATTTGATGGGATCAACGATTGCCATTAATTAACAGCCCGTACTTCTGATTTATGTTTTATTGTGAGAGGGACTTCATCAATCAGCCCGTTATGTTGGGTCTTCTGTACGGTTCGACAGTGAACCTTGAAGGATTTTCTCATTACCTGGGAGTTTATATTCATTCAATTGTGTTAATCTTGATCTAAGATTTCTGTCCTTTAACCTTTTACGAGCTGACGCGTATTTTCCGTTTCACATCGAGACATCGGAGTTCACATAACGATGTCGTAATCGACAGGATATAGAGTCTCGGAACATCGTTATTGTGAATATCTCTGTAGTAAGCTCGTTACATCTACTGTCTGTCTAGAAAGCGTTAATGAGACACAATTATAAGTATACGTACCTCCGGAACTGGAATGTGAGCCAGGTTTGGAATCAGCGATTCCAGAAGTTTGAGCACTACTAAACGCTCCAGAGAAAGCACCACCGAAAGCATTTCCGTTATCATGTCCAAGATTTCCGAACCCATCTGAACCGATTCCAACACCTCCTCCACTTCCTGAGCCACGGTTTGCCGTAGACGGATTTTTGCCACTTGAAAATCCTCCATTCCAACTCGAGCCAGAATAATGATCGGAAGGTCTAGCATTTTCCCCTTGAGATTTATCATTAAAGGTAGGTTTTTCATTCGTTTGGCTCAGTTTGGTATTGTCAGCGTTCGGAACAAAAGATCCACTGGACGTTGGGGCAGTGTTGCTATCAATTCCTATGTCTCCTCGCTTTGGTCCTGAGCCATTAAGGAAAGGGTTATTTTTGTCAAAATGTTTATTTCCCCCTGCTCCAATGGAAGGCATATTCTTATCATTGGTGCTCGGATTGGTTCCTACCAAGGTGTCGGCATGACTCCAAGCTTGCGCCCCTGTGGCTATACCACTGTTTCCTGGTTGCACTGTTCCTTGTAAGAAGGGATTTCCATAACCGATTGGTTTATTGCTATCGATTGTTGTTAAGGATGGGCCATCTAAAAAGATTTTTTTTTTAAATCGCTTACATATATATAGAAAGAGTGATTTCATTTTTCCGTTAATTACCAGCACTTGGACTAGGAATCTTTCCTGTTAAGAATAGATTCGATTGATATGGTCTTTCCTTTCCGGAAATTTTATTCACGTTATCTGGGTACGCTGGAATCCCCGAAGAAGGAACACAGACACCGGATCCGGCTGTGCAACCATGTGGACTATTTCCACCTCCAGTAGGGAATCCGTTAAATGGTCGACTGCCTACTGCAGGCACGATTTGTTGTGAACTTTGCGAAATATCATTCGGGAATGTTGGGAAACTTCCTATTGGCCCAGAACTCTTGTTAATGCCTGGTGGATTGTTCTGCTGGCCACAAGGTTTATTTTCTGGAGATCCATTATCACTCGTTCCACCATTACAACCTCTCCTATTTCCGCAATTTTCAGGTCCACTGGTGCAACCTGTATTTGAATCATTCAATGGATACTTCGTTATGTCTGTACTACTATAAGGATTAAGTGGATGCGAAGGTTTTGTTGGTACGATACCATCAGATAAATTTGGCTGATTGGGCTTTGTTATTCCAGGAATACCATAAGTGCCAGGCTGATTGGAGGAAGACTTTGTTTCATCAGGGCCATAATGAGGACCAGGCTGATACGAAGGTTTAGTTGTTCCGATGTTGCCATAAGGACTAGGCTGGAACGGAGACTTTGTTGTGCCTGGGCCACCATAAGGACCAGGTTGATAGGATGGTCCTGTTGTTCGGGTACCAGTATACGAGCCAGGCTGATTAGAGGACTTTGTTGCGTCTGGGCCACCATAAGAACTAGGCTGATTAGAGGACTTTGTTGTATCTGGGCCACCATACGGACCAGGCTGATTTGAAGGATTTGTTGCGCCAGATATATCGTAAAGATTAGATTTATGAGCAGGTTTTATTGGTCCTGTGTTATCGTGAGAGCTAGGTGGATAGGAAGGCTGTGTTGCTCCGATACCACTATCAGGCGTATGAGGTTTATGTCCGACAGGACTTCCTGGAGCAGGGGTTACGTTTATATAGAAGATTTTGCTATCTCCATTTTTAGCAGTATCTTGTTCAGAGGTTAATCCTGTACTTCCACTTGTACCTTTGATAACAGAGGGACTTGGCTTTCCAGTTCCATAAGGAATGTTTCCATTTTGAAGCCTTGGAGAACCTGGTGACTGTGCATTTCCAAATGGAGAACCGGAAGCCGGTGCATTACCGGTAGGGTGACCAGAATCACGTCCGTTTCCAGAGATCGCAGGACCTGTTCCGGCGTAAGCTATACTCGAACTTACAGCATTTGCCACACCATTAGGACTTTGAGAACCTGTCGAATATCCAGTATTTCCTAAACTTCCCAGTCTCCCTATATTTCCAGAGTTTCCTGGACTTCTACTGTAAGACACCGGACTGTGTCCTTGTCCTGTACCGGGACCAAAAGAAGGTCCGGAAGGATTTCCAAAATACTGCCCTGGACCTGTAGTTGGACCTGAAGGTCCAACGGGACTGCCGTGTGGTTTCTTTTGATCGGCAGGTTGATAGGTACAACTGCCATAGGGGTTACCAGAACATGCAGACGGTGATCCTTGAGGGTTATATTCTGCCGTAGGAACTGTAGAATAACCAGCAGCATTTTCTTTTCGTACGTTCCCAATGTTGATTCCAACGGACGGTATTTGAGATTGCTTCACAGGGCCGGCGTTGTTTAGACCTACATTAATGAATTTCAATCTTTATATATTTCATTATAAACGTCAGGAATCATTCTTTATTTTATACTTCGATACATTCAACGATACAAGTTCTCTTTTGATCAACATCCAAAATACTTTCAGACTACAACAGTTAAATTGTCAATTTGTATCGTGATCATCAATAAATTACTATCAAAAGAGACATCAAAATTCTAGCTAACCTTGAGCACAGTCAGTGCCTGGTTGATAATTGCCGGAACATCCAGAACCTGTTTCGGGTCCATTCTTCCAACTTCCACCGTGTGGTTGCGATATACCCATGTTCGGTCCACTTCCAATGGCTCCGTTCCAACTTCCAGAAGGATGCGAACCTGTTCCAGATGTCGAACCACCGTACGCTTCATTCCAGTTAGGTTTCGACGGAGTTCCAGAACCGGTTTGCCATCCTGGCCCAACTTGCTGATTGGTCGGTTGACCGGGCCCATATGTACCCCTGCCAGAGACTGGAGGGGTTTTATTCCATGGCAAACCTGAACTCGGACTTCCAATTTGTGGATGTCCTGCTTTGATTGGTCCAGTTCCTGTCGGAGCGCCACTATTCGCATTACCCGCAGCATTTGCCGAAGATCCAACACCTGTGTACGGTCCTTGACCGATAGGATTAGCTGCACCTAATTTCTGTACAGTCGGAGGCGATTCACCTTTATTCCTATGGTGGTGACCGTGATCGTGCTCCTTGTATTGTCCATCATCTCCGTCATAGCAATCGTCTTCGTCTTTTTCTTCTGGTTCGATTTCCTCCTCGTCTTTTTCCCAGTAATCGTCGTCTTCCCACTTGCACTTTGTACAACCATGGGCTCGGCTCCCTTTAACTCCGCCATTCGCCTGATTATTGCCACCGTAGCCAGTGTTGTCGTAACTGCGGATTCCTTTGTGTCCGTCGTGTCCTCCTATGGTTCCAGGCAAATCTCCAATTCCAGTAAATGCATTTGCATTGCTCAATGCAAATGTGTTTGCACCTGCACCCGTGAATGCGTTTGCGGACGCTGAAGCGCTGCCTATTCTCCGAATTAACGAAGAAAATTAATAACAGTTTCGTCGCATTATTCGCTATATTTTTAAAATACGATACGTACTGTATGCTAGACTACCGCCTCCGTCTTTGTTTTCGTGCGCTTCTGAAAATATGAAATCAAAGTTCAATATCTTCGGCTACCTATATATATATATATATA